AGAGAGTATAAACAAGGAATTAGCCGGTAGGTTTGCAATAAGATATAATATTAAATAACGAAGTCTTAGCGTTTCTCTTTATGGTTTGTTGTTAACACAAATCTTACCTTACGCCTATGTTTATGTTGTAAGTTGTTATAAATTGGAATTTCTTATCTAATTAGGATTAGGTTATAGGTTTATATAAAGTATCAGGTATATATACCTTAAAAATACAAATTTAACTAATCTAGGATGTTCTCAATAGGACAATCGTGTCACATCACAGTTATTTTCATTGATAATTGATACGTTCATTGACCATCAAGAATACATTTATCGCTTAAAAGCTATTAACCATTCAATTAATTTAGCATACACATTATTTTAGTTAAAATAAACGAATCATTTACCGCTGGAGTAGTTTTAGTTGCATCGTAACTTAAAAGAGTAGTTCGAGATTAGCATTACAAACTATGCACTACAAACTATAAATTATAATACTGCCATTGGTCAATAAATGTGGCAGCTGAGATTTTTGATTATTTTATAATAAAATTATACGAATTTTTTAGGGTATTTTTTTTTCATAGTTAGGTTAGTATTCAGGGTTAGTATTATTTATAAAAGAATTTTAAAAATATTATAGAGACGTGAAAAGTCTCGATCTCAGCATAAGTTGCCACGGTAATAATAATAAAAAAAAAAATTCGACATATAGTATATAAAGATTCAGTATTCTAATTGATTTTAATAAACCTACAAATAGTTTCCTTTTTGTTGTCAAGAATCATATTAACTAGTTGTTCGAGCATGCTTTACAATTAACTCGAGAATCTTCTATTAATCATAGCTTTAATATATAAATTCTAATAATAGACCATACTATAACTGTCATTGAATGCCGTATTACCCATAACCCATATAGTTAGAATTGATAATTAAAGAGTGTATGTATATAGATTTTAGTAGATATTTTCGAATCTAGGCCCAATTTTAGCACCATCTGCGACATAAATTGAATAAAATCCATTTATGTCAGTATATAGTCTTTAATGGAAATTAGACCTAGTATAAATTCAGGTATTAGTTACCTACCAATTTACAAATCACTACTAGAAATCAGTTTCTTGAGAGATAACCTTAAATAAAATTTTCTTTCTAAAAATGGTTAAATGTATCAGTAATAAAAATCCACATATTTGAAAAGTTTGGATCTGGATTTATTTATGCAATAAATTTAAAAATGTCAAAATTTGCATTAAATCCAAATTTAAACACTTTCATGAAAATAAAACCATAATGCTGGCAATGATAAAATTCTTCATAAACCATAAGGCTATACAAAACAATAAACTGGTTTCTGGGATCAAATTCTGCAAATTTTTTTTTTAAAATAAAAATTTTGATTATATTATTATTCGAGTGAGATTTCTAAAAAAAAAAATTTATAAAAAATAAATTTAAAAGTCGGGTAGCCGGGTTATTTAATTATGATGTAAAGATGCCAGTTCTCTACATGAAACTAATAATATAAGATAAATTCTTTGAATAAAGAAGCACCACTCTTGGTGTTATCATTTTTCAAAAATTTATTAAATCAAAAATTATTTGACATTAGATTTTTGCACTTATATTCCTATTCTGCCCTTGACCTTCTCTAAGACTTTGTTTCAAAGTTTGAATTACATGCATTGATGCACCATAACTTGATTGCCATCCTGGAATCGAATATAAAACTTAATAATCTTTAAAATATAAATGAGGATAGTAAATATTTAATTGATTGCCGTACCGTATCCTCCATGGCCATAATTATGACAGAGTAAAATTTTTTTTCCTGTTTTTTCAGATACTAAAATCAAAAATACATATCAAACTTCTTTATATAAAAAATGGGACTAGTAGATTTCGTTGATAGCCATTTCGCAAACAATTAAGATTAGCAAGCTTTAAATTGAGCTAAATTATCGACGAAATGGAACATCCCACAAAATAGGTTAACATCAAATATATGAAGGAAAGCTCACATATCCACTCTGTCTCGATTCTGATTCCATTTTTACGAACAGGTCGCAAACAAACACCATGTCTTTTAATTTTAAGCTCGGTCTCGCCTTTAGGTAATAGATCTGGACGTGTAGAAAGGCATCGTGTGATAATCGCATCAGCAACCTTTGCATCGGAAATTGTCGAACTAGAATGGAAAATATTGAGTCAATATGAGGCCAAACCCTACAATCTTTAGATTGTTGAATTTTTGTCATTCTTACTAGTTATGTAAATCCTATTGCTCGTTAATTATTAGCAAAAATTAATACTATTTCATATAATGTAATTAATAGTTTATCAAGAATTCTTACATAAGTTCCACCAAGTATCACTTCGCCATTATCCCGTGGTATTACATAATTGAATGTTTCACCCTTTCCTGGTATAATTTGAAAAGCATTATTGTTGTAAAATTTAGATTTTAATAAATCAATAAATTTCAATAAGTCCTCAGCAAAAATACATACTGTTTATGCTATTGGCTCCATAACGTATAAATGTCCAATTAACATGTCCAATAGGCAATTGTACCAATACTGTTTGCCCACTCGCTGGATAAACGTCTTGATCTTGAACACCCCCTAAGGTCTTCGAACCAAGTCCGGAACAATTTATTACAATGTCAGTGTAATCAAAAATTGCTTCTTGAATATGAGACAAAGTAATACGTTTAGTAGTTCCGCCCATTGTATAGAAACGATTCAAAAGATAGGAAAGATATTTAGGTGGATTAATTGTAACTTTAAATTCAAGTGATAAAATACAATTAAATTCTTAATCATGACTAAAAATAAATTTTCTAGAATATAAATTTAATTATTGTATACCAGTCTTATATTTAATACCAAATTCAACACCAGTTGGCAGTTCATTTGTCGTTAAGTGCCTGTACTGTTTGTTTAAATAAAAACTCAACCATCGCTAAAAAAAAATTATCACGTAATCATAAATTTTTTTTTAAAAAAAAAACATATTGCCTCTGGACATAAATCCTTAAACCATGGATCATTCCATTCCAATGGGAAATATTCATCCCAATAGTCAAACCCGTCTACAATCATTATTCCAGTTTCGGATGATCTGGTATGGGCTAAATTCCAAAAGTGAATAAAAGTTTCCTTATCAAAACCTTTCGAAGGAATTAATAAATTAATAAATTTAACTGAAATATGCTTTAAATACTGCTTTTGATACCAGTACCTTGTTGCCGAATGTCATCTAACACTGCTTGACTTCTCCAATTTGCGCCAGCCCTGTAAAATGTTTTTATTCTAGCATCAGCATATTTAAGAGTGATTTTAATTTACAAACCATGGACTTGTATATCCATCTTTTAATTCGCCCGGAAAGTCTCTGGATACGATTGTTACGTTATACTCTTCTTGAAGAAGAACAGCAGTAGTCAGCCCTGAAATTCCGGCTCCAATGACAGTTGCTTGTTTCTTTGGATTCAAGAATTGCATTTTTTTTAAAAAAAAAAAAAATCAGATGGTAACGGTAAAAATGATCTGAATTGTTGATCAAAACTAGTTTGCTATTTAACATTAAAATTTGACTTATCTTGTTTTGGTAAAGTTAGACATTTATATTTAGTGCTGTGATATACTGTTTACTGCAGTACTGTACATTCTTTCGATTGTCACTGGATCTTTTTTTTTTTTTTTTTTTTTTTTTTTTTTTTACATATTTTAATTTACCTGTATTTCTTTAGGCCATACAGTTAATTTTTTGGTTCTCAACATAAAATTTTAAAAAATGGCCGAGAACCCGGCTTTTAATTTTATTTTCAAAAATATGTATAAAAAAAACATATTAAAAAAATTTTTTTATAGATACTGGATTTAAAAAGACCCTCCCGAATAGTAAACATAGTTAAAGTTCTAAATTATTTTATCTCTTATGCATCTTGATAATTTGTTAAAACTACGTGTTTTTCCTAGTGCTTAACTATTGTTGTATCCGATACATGTAGATGAGGTGATAGGACGAAGTGGTGGGAAAGAAGAAGAATAAATTTCTTGCGTGAAAGTTATATAAATCAGAAGTATCGTAAACACAATGCATTTTCCATCCGAAAACTGCTTCATATGGTGTGCGGTCATGTACTTTTATGACATTACAAACACATCGATTATATTGTCTTTTTTTTTTATTTGTGATTGTAATAACAGGGTTTCTCCTTCATTTATAATATATATTATGGAATTTTATATTTGTGGCATACAGATTTCGAACCTAATTTTGGTTTCATTCCAATATGATCATTAATCATAATAAATAAATAATAAGTAAATAAAATTTTGATTAATGATGCTATCCAGTACAGTATTTAGCAAACAGATGAGGAAATTTCTTCACTATCGGGGTTCGACGGCGGATTCGTTGGGGTCCTCCATCCGTAGAGATCGAGTTTCGCTAGTTTTTTCGTTGTACATAAGGTACAACCTTTTCTCCGTGAAATGTAGCATTGCTTGGCTATACAAAATATAACTACCTAGTCTTCTGGGGTTCATGACGGTTCAAGATCTTTCAATCAAATAAATCTTGGACAAGCCTTTTATAATGCATGAATGTTGACTAAGCATATTTTCATCTCGATTTGCTGACCGAATTAAGTGACTCAGTATTGTCGTTATATCTAATATATACGATGTCTAAAGTTTTAACAATTGTTCTAAAAAATAAACTATTTTCAGATCTAAAGCTTACCATCATGAAGGTTTGTGGTCATTGTATAGTAAACAAAGCAGAAAGTATTGTAGTTATATTTATTTTTTAATATATTTTTTTTAAGAGAGGTCTTTCCTCTATTCCTTTATTTCAAAATATATAATTGAATACAACTAGTACAAATTTATACATTTAATAAAAGAGAGTAGAAGTTAGAGCTATAATTTACCCTCAACCTATTCTTAGCTAGAATGGTCAAAAAACCTCTAGGCTAGTGTTGTTATGAGATAGCTTTGGACAATACTTTGAACAATTTTAAACAATCTTGGACAATTAAATAAAGTAAAATTACTTAAAATTTTATTAAGATAACCTATTTTAATTTTAATTAAAAT